TCATGAAGCAAGTAGGGAAAGTATCTGGCTCAGAAACATGACTCAACATATTCAACACGCCAGTGGACTATCGAACAATAATGACCCGACGGTGATATACGAAGACAATGCAACATGTGTCGCTCAAACCAAAGAAGGATACATCAAGAGTGACAGGACTAAACATATCCCGCCAAAGTTCTTCTCATATGCGCAAGATCTTGAAAGAAACAAACAAATCAAAGTTCAATACATTCGATCAAGCGATAATGCAGATGTATTGAACTTTGATTTGTTTGTTTCTTTCAAGATCTTGCGCATATGAGAAGAACTTTGGCGGGATATGTTTAGTCCTGTCACTCTTGATGTATCCTTCTTTGGTTTGAGCGACACATGTTGCATTGTCTTCGTATATCACCGTCGGGTCATTATTGTTCGATAGTCCACTGGCTTGTTGAATATGTTGAGTCATGTTTCTGAGCCAGATACTTTCCCTACTTGCTTCATGAAGTGCAATGATCTCAGCATGGTTTGAAGACGTCGCAACTAACGTTTGTTTCTGAGAGCGCCAAGAGAATGCTGTAATATCCCGATATTTTATCGGTATAAATTACATTTTAGTTCCAATATAATAATGTTATAGTTTATTATTTTCGGAATTAATTAAGTTCAGTCGGAATTACCGAAATCTATTTTCGACGTACCGTTTACGTCCAAAATAATTTTGGTAATTAAGCATTATGTTTAATTAATAGTTAAACATAAAGATTAGTAATTAATGGTGATTAATATCACCTTAAAGCATAAAGCCGTGCCATTAGAGGAAAAATCCTCCCCAATAATTCCAAAGCCGTAGCTTGCTTGAGATTGGGGGAAACCATTTTTCCTTCAACTTTTTAGCATGAAACGTGTCATATGTAGAAGATGCTTAATCATCCTAATTAAGCCAAGGAGATTACAAGTGCTAAGCAAAGGAGAAGGCCACGATAGACCTTTGTCACCCCAATTCCATCCACGGCCAAGTATAAAAGAGGTCCTTAGCATAAATTTTGGTCACGTTTTTCCCTTAGGAATCAGCCAATATCTTAGGTACCTAAAGCCTACTTCATCAGCAAATAAATTCAAGCAAACTTCCCTCAATATTTCTCCAAATCACACGGCAAAACAAGAAGCTAACGCACGGCGAGTAAGGACGAGGAATCATGCTCCGTTTTTCCTATTTCGATCGGACGAGCTAAGAGGTAACCTCTCCCTTACTTAGTAATTCAGCTAAGGAGATCATATTAAGGCTATATGTTCGGTTTATTTTTGGGAATTTTAGATAAAATCATGTAAAGGCCGAACATAGTTGAGTAAGATTATAACCGAGCAAATTCCGATTTTTTTTCCCGACAACTTGCGAACTGTTAATGTGTAATTGTCCAGCTCAGCCTATTTGATGTTTATTAAGATCAGCTTTGTCGGTGGAAAATGAGTTTTTGTTGACGTCCTGGCCCCAGCCGTCGCCAACGCTTAACGCGTGGCCTCGGGTGGCCGTGGGCCGTGTAGTATTGCTTTCAGTAGAGTCTCGAACATCCGTGTGATTAAGTCTTAAATTGTTTCAGTATAATGATCATGTTGAGTTGTTCTAAAGTTTTCGGTTAATAAGTTAGTTTGGCCGAGAGGCGGCACAAAGCCGTCGGCGGCGCACGGGCTTTCGCCGCGGCCTTTCATGTTCAGTATGCGTGTGCTATATCTTCAGGTCATATTTG